GGCCCCCACCCTCTCACCGGCTCAGCAAACAGTAGGCTGACTGGCCGCTCACACGAGCCGGCCGAGGCGCAACTGCCTCGGCCCCTTCCACTACCAGCGCAGCAGCTGGTCCCGATCACCACACGCAAGAGAAAGGACACGGTCCCTCTCCACGACCAGTACGTTAACTGTGAAGCCCACCTTAAGGGCCAGAGTATCCTCAAGAAGCTACCCGCAAATAAGAAAAAATATATCTTAATGGAAAGGACAATGGATATACAATATCCGCCCAATATTACAAAGGCTTGCAGGAAATATGTCTTGATTAAAATATTCAGTAAAGGTATTGAGAAGTTAGTATATGCTCTCACACAATTTTATTTTACGTTTTGGGCATTGTCAATTCAATTGATGTTAATGGGCTGGCACAACCCTTCCAAACTACCGGAAGCCAGCACAACGAAAGCGGGTCATTGGATTATTACCTACTTACTTTATTATGTGGCTTTCACTCTTTTACTCCGAAGGGCAGTTCTCATGGTGTCTTCTAAAGGACATGGCACCACCACAAACATGAGTCACCCACCTTCAGGTATGCCCAGTGGGCAGGAAGTAATATTAACGCTCTCGCGAAAGCACCAGAAACACAGCTTCAACGCCAAGCGTACAAACACATTGCAAATGAATAAGGTATCTGTGCGCCACAAACCGGAAACGAATTCGATTCCAAAACACGGAAACTAGCAACTAAATATTAAACGCCGGGCTTACAGTAGCTAAGCCCCGGCGAGCCCCCCCCCCTCCTTTTTTTTCCTAACGGAAAATTTTGCCGTAAACGGCAAGCGCCGGGCTTGCAGTAGCTAAGCCCCGGCGAGGCCCCCCCCCTTCCTTTTTTTTGGACGGGCTATCCTCAAGGCAAGTGACCAGAGTAATGGTCGTGTTTGCCCCTTTCCCTACATCGGCCATACGGCTTTGTTTGACGCTGTAACGGTACAGCATAACAAATCTCAGCTGCTGTGATCAGCCCTGACCTCCTCCTATCCCCCTCTCCCAGGCGCATGGCCTGAACACGATAGTTGCATTCTTACTTGTTAATTAAATATCGTTAATCATATATTTTAAGTTACTTGCCTCTCACTAATCGCAACCAAAAAGTTGCTTATTATTGTTGCAGATACAGCTACCTCAGCAAGCGTGTAGTGACGGCAACGTTCAGCGCACATATTTGCGCAAAACAAGCTCTATGCTAAATTGCTGTTTTGTTTTAACCAACAACACTTAACATGCGCTTCCTAACCCATGAATTTAACACAATTAATTTTGCAAGAAAATGTCATGAAACAAGCGGACAGGCGCCAAGCAGGCCTACATGAGCTAACCATTGGTGGGCGACCAGTGCGAAGCGGCCGTGGCCACGAAACGACCTGCCCCACCCACCGCTACAAGCAGCCAGCCTCAGTGCATACGAGCAGGCCACTATGAACGAAAATAACACATTAACAGCGCAAACCGTGCGCCCTCGTGGATCTCAGTCTTAGATCCACCACCAGTTGTGCTTTCCGGCTTGGACAGACAACATGTCGTGTTCCTCCAGCTCAGAAAATGGGAATTTACGTCGTCGCATGTTTGTGTTTTACGTTTGCATGAGTTCGTATTCGGCCCGGATCTAAGGTGTTGAACTCAATTGACCGCTCAGCGTTGTGAGTCCGGCACCTTTCCGCGGCCATCCCCGCGAAATCCTCGCTTGTTAACCCAACATTAATACGCGTTATTAATGGTGAGTGCTTTTCCTATTAATAACAACCTGTCGCATACTTTCTTTGTTTTGACAAATCTTAAAGTAAAACTAAATTCTTGCACATGTGTGCGTTGTCTGTTTAACGCTAGTAAGGCAAAAAAAAATGTGCCTAAAATATTTGTTTGTTGAGCACACAGAATAATCTCACAAAAAAAAAAGATAGAAATTTTGAGGCACCCTTGTTGCCTATAATAAACCATCTTCAATTTCACATCAATCGCATCAGCATCTGCACTTCAAAATGGTGTGTGCAGGAGAACCTCATACGAAGGGCAAGGACCTGGCTCGAGCAGCAGAACTACTCAGGCTGTGGCAGAACCTGAGGAGACCATCCGCTTTCTTCAACGCTCTACACTTGTACCTTCGGGCTCGAGACCGAGCCCACATCCGACACCGACGAGGCGATGCGCTTCGATACAGGCGGCACCGACATCAAGCAGATACTGATGATGCCCCCGTGCGAGTCACTCTGCGTCACCCTTACCTCCGTGGACGCCATACCCAGCCTCAGCAAGATGCACCGATAGCATCTACTCGGCGAATACCAAGATTTTTGATTGAACACAGGTACGACCATGGTTCAAATTAGGTATTAAGGCCCCCCTTTTCTGTTGTATAAATGCAGGCGCAGAATTGCCCCCCCCTCCAAAAAAAAACACTTTTTTTTCTATGTACGTTTAGCGCAATGATAAATAACCATTTCTTTTTCATGCTTTGTTTTCATGGCGCGGCACGACGCCGCCACACACGCAATCCGATTCGAGGCACCCATCGCTTTGAGCAGGACAGCGGCAGAGTCACCGGCCGCCGTCCCATGTCCGCTCAGCACCTGCACCACCTGCGCCACGCACCCCATGGACCACTCCAACGGAGAGGCAGCCGATTAGCTGATGCCACACACTGCTGGCCTCGAGGAAGCTATTTATCCCTCGGCTAACCTACTCTCACATGGTCCTGACCCCAGCCCTTCAAGTAAACAGCAACAACAGCAAGGGGCCCAATCCAAAGGGGTCACTGACCGGCTGTGGCCGACCCCGCATTGATGCATCAGCTGTGCGGTGCACTGGGTGCGCCCTACTGGCCCACCAGTGTACCACGTCCACACCCGCCGCTAACCAACAACAACTTGGACAACAAATTGGACAACAACCAGGGTGTGCGTTTCGCGCGCTTAGTGCGGAAGGGACTTCACCTGCTGAGCACCTTGAGAAAGCAGTGCCCTAAAACTATACTGTGATGAGCAGGTGTTGCGTGTGACTGGGACTTGAGTGCGTGTCGTGTGATCTGCTGACGCTCGTCAGCCGTTTGCTGTTGTAAATTCTGACTGTCTTTCTTAACTTGTTTCGTAAGACCTCTCGGTATTATTCGTCTGTGGACAAGCGTTTGTGTCGTAACCATTGAAAATACTTAATATTTCTTTTTTTACAGGTTTCATTGTTGTTGCGCTATTCTTAAGTTTCACTTTCAGAAATTGTATTTAAAAGCAGACTGCGCCTATGATAAAGAAAAATGTGTTGTACACCATGGTCATGCTTGAATACTTCGAGTGTTCAGTAATACTTACTTTTGTGTACATGTAAATTGCATCAGTCTTGGAAATGTTCTTTAAAGTTTGAAATTGTATAATGCATTATGCATAGTGAACGGTGAAATTTATTCTAGGTGAGACTAAATTGAGTCAAGTTACCACCTTGCATCGTTATAAAAAGTTTGTGTATTACTTTAAGGAAAGTAACAGTGCATCCTATGTTTCTCTATAGTGTATCAAAATAAGAAAGGGAACACGGTACGTTCCCGCCTTGTTATTGCATGGTACTGTATTGTATTTGCATTGAAAAGGTTAAAACTTTATTTTTAGTCGATTAGAGGTACTTTGTAAGGCTATGGTCTTGGATCAAACTCGTATAGTTTTCATTTTTGTAAATTCTGCGGCCCTTTAAAGTCTTTAGTCTTTTAGTAATTGTCGGTCGAGGACGACCGTGCATAAGCTCCGGCGACGTTAGGGCTTGTATATTATTGTACGCGCCTCGCGCACAGGACGCGCTCCCTTCACACAGACGTAAGACGCGATTCCCTCTCGCAGCGCTCCGCGCTGACTGGACACACACGGTGTGAGTAGAGACACCCGGTCATGGAGCCTCGCGGCTATGACTCAAAGAGCACCGAATCGGCACCGGGTGTGCCCAGCTGTGTCCGGCTCGGGGCTGCAGCCCCTCGCCTGAACAGGGCGCCCCCACCCAGAGTCCGAGCCTATATAACGGTAGGACCCCCTCAGAGAGTCAGTCAGTCCATCGACAAGCAGATCAGGGTCAGACCATCGATACGCGGCCCCTGGCTCGGCCACTAGTTAGACCCAAGACCATCGTCAAGTCCTAAGTGATCATGTGTGTCACTAACGTTCACCTGTATAACTCGAGTGCTACCTACCACTGTGCATCATTGCTACAACCACCACTGTAAGTAACCAATAAATCTTGTATATATAACTGTCAGGAATACTAGTGTCATCCTTCCACACTGGACCTCTAAGATTCACACGAACCCGCGGCTCAATATATCAGGTAGCCGTCAGCTGAGTATTTCCAACTGACCACTCCGCTCGGAGTGCCGTCTCTCTCGGACTGTCTGGCCGGTAATATCGACCAACCGGAGCCACTCCGGGACGATCCTTAGCGCTGTTCCACTTTCGCCTAAAGCTGTTCGATGTTAATCGTCTGTTAGGCCCCCCGTGTGGGTGCAGTCGGGGTGGGGTGGGGGGAATTGGGAGGGGTAGGGGAGCGAGAGAGAGAGAGAGAGAAAGCTGGGGGCGGCCTTCCTGCTAAATCGCTGCCACTTGTTAAAGAGACAATTTGTGGAGCTTGCATCGGCGTGGGGCTGCTGCTGCTGCTGTTGCACACGTTTTAATTATACTGTTAAAAGCAGGCGTTGAGAATGAGCTGTTGTGCGGAGGGGGCTGGCGGGGGTGGCCCGGGGACGGTGGGAGAGGGTAATTGCACACTATTTGCGACGCCGACCTGCTGTGGTCGGCCTCGCGCCCCTCGCGTGGAACACCGGTTTCCTCTTGCACCCTCATCTACAAACTGCGCTCCACTTAGTGACGCCTTTTAAAGTTCCACTGCATTCACAAAAATCCCGAGGCGCAACGTTGTCTGCGCGTTTGTTTTAGTTTATGTTTGTTTTTTTCGCTCACTCCATTAATTTCTTCCTAATTTGATTTTTCCAGGGCGGAGCTGCACTACACGCCCAACGCGACGCAGATGCACCTGAACATCAAGAACCTGGCGGTGGTGGACGAAGCGACGTACAAGTGCGAGATCACGTACAACGAGGTGAAGGACGGCTGCGCCGTCGTGCAGTTCATCAACCTCACCACCATGAGTGAGTACATCTTTAGAAAATAGTTCTCCTTTGTGCAAGGAAAATGGTGCTCAGCACAGCACAGTGTTGTTCCACCATCTCTCCCTTTTTAACGATTTTTTTTTTAAATTTCAAACTCAGAACTCCATTGTCGAAAAACCTGAATGATGAGTGACGAGGGTATGCGGGTACAGGAGGTGGGCCTTCATCGCCTCATGTTTGGCGCCCGGTGTGCAATGCTCTCAATCTTCCTGCCTTCTCTCTTTCTCTCCCTCTCCCTCTCTCTCTCTCGCTCACGCTTTCTTTCTCTCACCCTCGGCCAATTAGATGTGGCGCCACCACGCCGCGCCACTCCGCGCTGAGACGGATGGGCGTCGTTCTGTCACCGTGCATGGGCGCGGCGGCCGCACGCTCGTTACTCCATCTCATCCACTTTACAGGACATTTTCCTCGGCAATCCGTGATGTAATAAGAGCCCCGCGCTCGTGAATATTCACCCCCCCCCCCCCTCCCCAACATCCCTCTGTTCGCCAGCCTGGCTGGCTATATATGTGCTGAAATAATGCCCGCGTGATTTTCATTGAAAAAGCGCTTCGGCCTAGCGTACCCTCCAGTCCTGCATATATTACTGTACTGTTAGACTAATAAACTAACTAAAGGAATTTTCGGCTGTAACCCCCATGGAAAGCGAGAAGAGCCGAGGGGTATGAAAATAACTCTCGTGTCCATACATGGAAATAAAAATGAGGAGAGCGTATAAGCCAATCAACCAGCCACATAATGCATAACTTTTCGAGTTTTCGTGTGCACGACGACTCACCCTCGCCCGCAGTCTCTCTCACTCCCCTGCGGCTCTGTAGGAACCCCCACCCACCTCCACGACCGCCACCGTCCTCTGCTCTACCCCTTTCCCCACACCGCTTCCAGCGCGGAGACTCTCGCTGCACGCTGCATTTGTAAAACCCCTCCATCCGCGCGCATCCGTCTTCTTTTGTTATTGCGATGCGTCCGCACGCTCCCGACGCGGCCCCCGTGCCCCCCTCCCCCTCCCGGCCGACACGAAATATTGCCCCACTTGTATCTCCTGGGGGTCGCGGCCGCCGCCCCGGGGGCCCCAGCAGCACGCCCCGTCTGACCTGACTATATTTTGATGACTCGCCAGCCGCCGCCCACCGCGTCGCGGCCACAGATTTCTTCTCTCCCTTTCTCTTTCTCTATCCCTCCCTCTCTCTCTGTCCCTATCTCTTTCATCTCTCTCCCTCTCTCCATTTCTCCCTCTCCCTCTCCCTCCGTCCCTCTCCCTTTCTATCCCTCTCTATCCTTCTATCTCTGTCTCTCTCCCTCTCTATCCTTTTCTATCCCTCTCTCTCCCTTCCTCTATCTCTTTCTCCTCCCCCTCTCTCTCCCTTCCTCTATCTCCCTTCTCCTCCCCTCTCCCTCTCTTTCTCTCCGTTTCTCCCGCTTTCGCCTCTCCCCCTTTTCATCCCACGTTTCCCCCATCCTCCTCTCTAGGCCCGTACTCGTTCGTCACCCGCCATTGTTCCCTCACCCGGAGTAAAGCTCTCGACAGTCACGCACAGCGGCACTGAGCTCAGCCTGAGCTGACCAGCACCTCACGCTAATTTTCGCCTCCTGTACCCTGCTTGGGCCCGCTTTGCGCATTATACACTTTGCGAAGGAATTGCGAGACTGGATTTCTCTTCGCTTTTGCTCACTTTTTCATGCTGGCGTTCAAAGTGTGAAATGATACTATGGTTAATGTTCTTACAACCATGCTTTCGCGGATTTTTTGTCGGTTTACATAAAAAGGAGCTACAAAAAATCTAAGATGACGTGATTGTAAAACTTTTGGACCATAACATTCTCATTTTTCGTCAAAATTTAGTTTTACAATCTTCTGTGTTGGTGCGGAAGGTCATCTACTTCAGCAAAACCGTCAAACTAGTCATCAACTCATCTTTATAAAGAAAAACGCAGGCGTTTATTTTTGCTCGGCTCTATGTTGTTTTTTTAAAGATTTTTCTACTTAGGCCTGTGAAAGACCCTCACCGTGGTAATTCGATCAGTGAATAGTCGTACTTTACTGTGGGTCTCACGCGCTCGTGACGTGGACAGCAGCGCGCGGCACACTTGAGCCACATTTCAAAATGAAGGCCTGAGCGTGGCAAGCAGGGGCTGCAAATGAATGGGAACAAACCCCGGGAGAAGGGAGGCATTAGTGAGAGGGAGGGAGAGGGCGAGGGAGAGGGAGAGAGAGAGGGCGAGAGAGAGGGCGAGGCGACCAAGGAGCAAGTGTGCGGGGCAGAGAAGCGGACCGGGCTGGCGAGCGGGCGCTGCTTGTAGGTACGGAAGTAAGGGCGCAATGGAGCTTGGCGTTGACTGGTCGTGGGCGGAGAGAGAGAGAGAGAGAGAGAGAGAGAGGGGAGGGCGTGAGGGAAGAGAAAGGAGAGTGGGAAAAAAAGAAAGGTGCCTTTTTCCGGAATTGGCTGCTGGCGCGGGGAAGCCCCCCGCAGCCAATGACTTGTTCGCCGGTCCTGACAAAGACCCGTCGCTCCCTTTTCACCCGCGGGTCGTGTCTCCCTCCTGGAAGCATCAGGCCCCGGTGACTCGCAGCATCCTGGAGAATAATGTAGGATACAGGACGCCCGCTTGCGCACACACACACACTCACACAACATTGTGACCTGCTAATGGGAAAGCCTCTTCCCCTCCTGCCCCCCTGCGGGGCGCGCCTCGGCTGGTCGACCTGCGAGGGAGCGACGCAACAACACCTTGGGACTCGAGTGGGCGAGAGAACAGGGAGGCGCCTATTGTCAAGTGTCGAAGATGACACAAACGGAGAGCAGCGATAGAAAAGCAAAACACGACGAAACCATGAGGTATTATTGTTTTTCAAATAACTACTGTTCTGTGCGTTCAAGCTTACTTTGCATGCACTATATGTATGTAGTCAAAAAGTTGCACGTGTACTTTATCTAATGTAATTGTGTGACTTTTTCATTTGTGAAGTTGTTCGATTACGTATTCATTGTGAATATTTTCGCCGACTTGAATTTTGTTTTCTTTTGAGGGGGGGGGATTAAAACATATAAACTGGCTACTGCTACACGTGTAAAAAAAACTGGAACTTGAACGTCAATCGGCAATCTTTATCAAAACTGGATAACGAGAACCGGCAATATTTATCAAAACGGGAAACTTTTACCTTCGGGTAGAGACAGACCACAAGGGACTGTCTAAAAAGAGGGGCGGAAAATGTTTTGCGAGTAAGGTAGAAGGAGATAGTAGTAGAGGGGGACGACTAGGTATGTAGTGTGTGTTATGAGCACCAGGCGGTGCTCCACTTACCTCGTGCGGGGAAGATTCCCCAAACGGGGACAGCCGTGCCTGCAGGCGCAGCAAGGCTAGAGGAGGAAGGGGTTGGACAAGCTGACGGCCATCCATCGCCATGATAAACTCCCTCCAAGGATGTAATGAGGGCAGCTGTGCACCACGACATGCCTCTCCTCCCCCTCCGCGGGGTAATGACAAACATTGCATTGCAGGATTGCAGGACGCTTGGGACGCTTTCCCCTAATCAGGAATCATATTATGGCCCGCGCTGTTCCACTTGTTATTATTGAGACTCGCACACATGCATACACGAGGACGCGGGCCATGCTGCGAGCAGATCGGGTTAAACCATCGCAGAAAAAGGCTGATTGTGTATCCTCGAATTATAGGTCTTCTGCAGTCCCTATACTGATAAGGATTGCGAGATGTCTTCGCGTCCTTTTCTGTAAAAGGAAATTGATTTAACGTGTATTTTTCCCCCTTTAAATGTTGATGCTTGCTACTGCAGGACTTTCAATGAGTCGTATACAGAAAAGCAAAGGATACCGAGGTGTAGGATTTTGATTTTGTTCATCTATATAAGTATATTGGTATTTTTCAATTTCTTCGTATAATATTAATAAGACGCCTGGGATATCATAAATTTACTGTCAGTGTCAAAGTATTGCTGAGCAGGCTAAGAGTGGCGGTGAGCTGCTCGAGGTAAACTATTGCTGAGAGCGGGCTTAGGGTGGCTGCAGCGCATGCGATGGGGTGCACTACAAACTATGGTAGTGCGCGAGGAGTTGGGGGTGGGGATGATGTGGCCCTGATGAAGCAAAAGGAGAGTGGTGGAAAAAGTAAAAGGGTGACGACGGGGGGAGGCGGTGGTGGTTGGGGGGTAGAAATGGGGGAAGGGGAGCAACGCTTACCGGAGCTGGCTGACGGACGATAGTCATTTCCCTCCCAGCCGCCTCCGCCTCGGCCGCCGCCCTGCTGCCGCTGAAGGAAAGCGCAGACGTCGGCCCGCGGGCGAAAAATAGCTTCGCTCAGAGATATCAACCGTGCAACAAAAAGGCTGAACGCCGCGCGCGGGAGCCGAAGGGCAGGCGGCGCGCGGGACGTGATGGCCGAACTGGTGCCAAGCTCTGCGCCAGCAGCCAGCCAGGGGGCGACGCGTAAATGCACCTGGAGCGAGCGCCGCGGGGCCGCCGGTCCGTACGGGCGACGACGGCTTGATAGAGGAGGAGATGAATATTACGCGCGATGGCGGGGACGGCGGTGAGGTCTTCGGGGACCATCCCCTTGTTGTTCCCTCGTACCCTCCCCCACTCTCCGCCTCCCCGGGGACGTTGGAACCGCAGCGTACACACGCCCCCATGACGCTATCAAGTGACGCAAACTAGTGATCGCTGAGTGAAACAGAAAGTGCTGCTGCGGCGAGCCTCGCGCCGGGTCGCGCCGAGGAGGGTGGTGCGTGGAGCGCCGCGGCGCCATTCTCTGGTGCAACCAGACACGCCAAATCAGAGATGAGCTCGTCTAGTTTTAAATCCCAGAGGGCGGAGGAAGCCTGTGTCCCTCCTGAGACGGGGGTGGTGTTTGCGGAATCTGGACCACCCGACTTACATGTGGCTTTGCTGAGCACTCCGCTCTGATGCGCTCTTTGCTCGTCTCTCTCGTCTCCATTATCTCGGTATCTCTCTCTCTGT